GGACATGTGCCGGGGGGCCGGTGGGTGATGTCGGTTCGCCCCCCCCCACTAAGCAATCTTCCCCCCCCCCCCCTAGCCACGCCCACAGGAAGCGGTAGGAAAATTGTTCTTATTTTTCCCTATCTACCCCCACCTTCCCTTCACCAGTCGCCCCCGTTGCCTCACTGGTCCAGTCCAGAAGGCAAGCTGACCGGAGTTTTCGGTGGCCCCCGGCCAGCTGCCGCTGCTGGGAAGCAGCTGGCTGGCAAAGACGCAGGCTTGCAAGGCAATGGGAGGCGCCCGCGCGGAGAAGATGGCGGCAATGGAAGCTGCTTTTTTGCCAGCCGCCGGCCTCTTTGAGAGCTGGTATGCAAAGAGGCGGTGCAAGTGAGCAGCGACCGGATGGGCGGGGTGAGCCACCTGTGACAGGGCCCGGTTCAGGGGCGTGGCCAGCCAGCTATCACTACCGGTTCGCCGAACTGGGCAAAATTTCTGCCACTAGTTTGGGTGAACCGGTGCAAACTGGCTGAATACCACCTATGCTCAGTCCAGAAGGTGCCCACCAGGGGAAGGCTTCTCATTTCTCCAGGGGAGAGACCCCCCCCTCCCACTTTGCAAATATGTTCATTTCCGGTCCTCAAAGGATGGGTGGGGGTGGGGTCTTCACGACATCCTTCTCTCCGCACAGACTTCCCGTTGTCGAAGTCGTGCCCCCAGCGCGTCTGTCCCACCAGCCGGCTCATTCTGGTGTTGATGCTGTTCTGTGGCGTTCTGATCCTCTCGGTCAGCATCCTAGGCATTCAAGGTGAGTGTGTCACACAAAACGGGGTGCGACGTGGGTTGTGCAAGGCCCTAGGGAGGAGGGAAACGCGAGGCAGACCTGGAGCTGGAGAACGAACGTGCAAGATGGGAAGTAAAAGAAGAAGAGAAACGTGGATTGGTCCATGTGAAACGCAAAGTATTAAGTGATGGAAATGCAGGAAGACACTGTGTTGTGTTGTGTTGTGTTTTTAACCAGGGTTTCAGGTGTTGTAGGAACTGGCCAAAACTAGAGGGGCCATTGCTTGTCATCTAGTCCAATCCCACCTACAGATAGTCTTCGATTTACGACTGTAATTGAGCCCGTAGTTTCAGTCATAATTGAAAATGGAAAACGAAGAAGAGAAACGTGGATTGATCCATGTGAACCTCCAAAGCTGCTGGGATGGTTATAAATGCAGGCAACCACCGCATTGTTTGTTTTCACCTGAGTTTTGGGTGTTGTAGGAATAGGCCCAAACTAGAGGGCTGCTCTGCAACATCTAGTCCAACCCCAATCACAGGTTGTCCTCGATTTACAACTGCAATTGAGCCCGCAGTTTCAGTCGTAATTGAAAATGGGAAATGAAGAAGAGAAACGTGGATTGGTCCATGTGCGAAGCCCATACCTGCAGACACCTCTTACGGGATGGCAATAAATTCAGGCCATTTTTGGGGGTTTTTTTACCTGGGTTTCGGGTGTTGTAGGAATAGAGAGAATAACAGAGGGTGTCAAAGGAGGAGAGGGTGAACTTCTACACCTGGGGGGGAAGGTTACGGGTTGCCCCCTCCCTCGGCTCTGCTTCCTCCCTCTCTCCCTCTATTCCAGGCGTCCAGTTCATCCAAAGCCTCCAGGGGACCCAGAAGGGCGTGCAGAATATTACCCAGGCGATCCAACAGGGGGCCACCAAATTCAAGATCAAAAGTAAGGAGGGGCCAGAGGGGGGGCGGGAAGCAGCATGCAAACACACACACCCCTCTTCCCCTATCCAAATTCCATCCCTGGGGCTACCCCCTTTCCCAATTGGGACAGACATCCTGTCGGAGAATGGGGGAGCAAACTTTCTCTTGGGAGGGGTCATCGGAAGGGGGGGGGTTCCTGCCAAGGAAGGGGGTCCTCCTTCTCCCAACGCCCTCGGCTAAAGGATTCTTGTGGTGTGCGTCATGGGAATGGGCCCCGCTCTAACCGGGTGTCAAGTTTCCAAAAAAATGCCCTGATTCATGAGCCTGGAGCCAAATTTCAAAGGAAAACCAGTCGTGTATTAGGAGCGTTTTGGCATTTCCTGGTTTGTGCAGTCAGATCTGAGCCTCATTTGAATTACGGGTGAACTTTACCCCTGTTCCTCTCCTCCTCCTCCCCCCCCCGGCAGTCTGTGTCATAAATCACATTTCCCAATGAGGTGCACCCCTCCCAAGCCTGCTGCGGTAATCTGAGATCGGATTCAAGCCAAAAATATGCGTGGAATGCGCTCCGCCCCCCCTTTTCCTCATGATGGCAACTTTAGGAGTTGACACCGGGCCCCCCTTTCTTGTCCACTTTAGGGAACAACACCGGGTGGAGACTGGCTCAGCTGCAGAAAACGTTGACCGAGGAGAACGATAAGCTGTCGAAAGGTCAGGATTTTTCACCCTGGAAGAAGCTTTCTTCCAGCTGGGGCGCAGTTGGGGTGGGGGACGGGGTGGGGGGGAAACGGGGTCCCTACAGAGGAATAAGGGATGCTCTCATTGTTGTCTTTCTCCGATCTGAAAATCCCTGTCATCCCTGCTGCTGTCAACATCAGGATGTCCCTGGGAGGGAGGAGTTTAGCAATTTCGATTAAAAGGCAGCTGCTTTCATGAGCCAGCTCACCTCGGCAGCTGTAGCCACTCAGCCAACCTGTCTGCCCCACCCTTTCTTTCCCTCCCTCCCTCTCCCCCGCCCCAATTTAATCCCCTCCAATCAGCCCAGACTCTCCATGCACCAGTGGAAGGAGCTGTTGCTGTCTCCGCGTCTCATTAAAGCAGCCACTTCCGAATAAAAACGCTTTAGTGGGAAGTTTGGGGGGAACCATCGCTTTTCAAACTTAAGAGACTGGGTGGACTTCAACTCCCAGAATTCCCCCAGAATCCTCCCCAGAATTCCCCAGCCGGTATGCCCCCCCCCCCCGATGAAGGCAGCTGCTGATGCTTATGAAAGCAGCCGCCTTGGGATTAGATGACTTGGTGGGAGGTTTTCCCTTGGGATCGTGGTGTGTGTATGTGTGTGTGTGTGTGTGTGTGTGTGTGTGTGTGTGTGTGTACACAGCTTCTTTCTATTCTTGCTCTTCTTTTTCTTCTTCTTCTTCCAGTGATAAAAGTGTCCCAGACGCAGTTGGAGACCCTGGAGCAGAACGCAAGAGCTTTGCAGTGTGAAATTGTCGAAATGAAGAGCAACGGTAAAAAAGAGAGAGTCAACGTTTATTTATTTTATTATTTTTTCTTCTCTCTTCTCTTCCCCTTCTCTTCTCTTCTTCTTTTCTCCTCTCTTCTCTTTTCCCTTCATTTCTTCTCTTTTCTCATCTCTTTTCTTCTTCATCTCTTCTCTTCCCCCTTCCCTCTCTTCTTCTTCTCTTCTTCTCTTTTCTCTTCCCTTCATTTCTTCTCTTCTCTCCTCTCCTCTCCATCTCTTCTCTCCTCTTCTCTTCTCCCCTTCCCTCTCTTCTCCTTCTCTTCTTCTCTTCTGATTTATCTTTTCCCTCTCCTTCATTTCTCCTCTCCTCTTCTCTTCATCTCTTCTTTCCCCTATTCTCTTCTGCTTCTCTTCTTCTGTTCTTCTCTTCTCTCTTCTCTTTTCCCTTCCCTTCATTTCTCCTCTCCTCTCCTCTCTTCTTCTCTTCTCCCCTTCCCTCTCTTCTCCTTCTCTTCTTCTCTTCTNCTCTCTGTAACCTTCCCCAACAGCCAGGAGGAAGACCCCAAAGGACAAAGCCCCCCGCCCCCTCTTACCTTCCCCTCCCCTCCCCCAGTCCCATCCTCACCTGGGATAGCGGCATTCCAGTCCAATGGTGGTACCACGACTTCGGGCAATGACCGGGTGGTTGGTCAGCGAAGGCCTGTAGGAGAGCTGGGTCTGGTAGATCAGGAAGTTGGGGGTCATCTGAAAAGAGGGGAGGGGGCTTGCTGTGGGGCAAATGCACGGTGCCCCCACAAGGAGCCGGCGGCAACTCTCTGGAAAGGGGGCCACCAGGAAAGACTAGGATATCGGGGTTTCCGCTATTTTATTAGTTTATCAAAATATAAAACTATCGATTATATTTTATCAAAATATGAAAATAAGGGGACGATAAGGGAGAAGATAAACCAGCGTAGGATAAAAGGGAAAATATAATAAAAAAGAATTTTGAGGGGGGGGCAGAATAAGGTAATAACATCAAACCTCAATTATTTTGTTTTGACTGTTATTATATCATTTCCCGGTAAAGTTTTTATTTTTTGTTGCAAATTTTCAAACCTCTTTTCAAACATTCTCTCTTGCACATAACCAATTTTACATCTCCTGATCATTTCCAAATGCGGCCCCATTATTCCCTTCGGGGAAAAGGACGGCATATAAATGCAATAAATTCAATTCCTTCCCATATTCCCATCTCAAATTGACATTTTTTCTTCGCACGTCAACCAAATCATTTCCGGGGAAAAAAAACTATACCAACTTTATCATTTCATTTTCCATTTTCTAATTTCGATACGCAGCATATATCACCGAGTTATCATTTTAATATAACAAGCATTTTACTTCCTCGGTTATCCCCACTGAACGGTATTATTGTAGTTAACTATATATCACCAGCAGTATCAAGGTATTTCATTTTCTGCTAATATCTCTCTTTTTTTACCTTCTTCCTTTTCTCCTCTCGTCTTTTGCTCTCTTTGATGTTCTGTTTTTCTCCAGTTTTTGTCCTTCTATCTTCTACTCTTAAATTCCCCTTTTGTATGTATTGTATCTTCTGAATTTCCCCTATCATTCTTCTATAACGTAGTTGAGTAACCCTCCTTTAAATTCCTCTTTTTCTTGCCTCCCACTGTTTCTCTCCCTTGTTTTTAAGTTGTTTCTCTTTTTGGGATAGCATTTTTTCCCCTTTTCTTTCCATACTAGCTGTTTTCTATAACAACCAACCTTATTGGCAAACTCCCAAACTAATTAAGTTTTTTTCCCCCCAAGTGCAAAGTCCAGAAATGGTTTCCAGGTAAAATTGTCTCTGTGTTTTTTATTCTTTCCTTTAATCAAATTTTGAGCACTTGCAAGAGGCCTGGACTTCAACTCCCAGAATTCCCCAGCCAGCCTTCCCAGGCTGGCTGGGGAATTCTGGGAGTTGAAGTCCAGGCCTCTTGCAAGTGCTCAAGGCTGTGAAACACAGAAGAGATGCTCTCCAGACCCCCAACTTCCCCTCTCCTTCCTCCCAGAGCCGCCCCCAGTCCCCTCGACGGGCATTACCTGCACCACGCTCCCGCACTCATGGAGACCCGCTTCGAAGACCACCACACCGCCGGCCCCCAGGCTCAAAGGGGGACAGGCCGCAGGCCCCAAGGCCAGCTCCGTGGGGTCAACCAATTTCCCCATCCCAAAGAGGTCCCTGCGGACGGTCACCACCATGTTTTGTGGCCCACAGCGCACCTCCACCTGGGGGTGGGCATAAGTGGGCATCCTGGCAGGGCACCCCTGCAGGACCAGAGCCAGCAGTGGGAGAAAGAGCCAGGCATCCATAGCCGGCCAGCAGACACACGTACAGCTCAGCTTCAGGCAGGTGAGGCTGTTTGGAGCCAGCCACTCACCTGTGGCTCCCCCACCTGTGTAATTAACCCCGGCCACGCCCACTCAGACAGGTGGGGCAGGGAAGAAGGCAGGCAGGAAGGGGGCTGCAGGAGAGGATCAGACAAGACGGGGGAATGGATCATTATAAGCCCTTCGTTGGCGATGGAACTCTGGTTTAATCAAACCATGATTTGCTGAACCATGATATTCCAAAGCAGGAAGCAGAATGGGGCTGTTCTCCCCCTAACCTTTGATGCCCCCTTTTCACCCCCAGGTTTCCACCCCAATTCAATACAATACAATAGCAGAGATGGAAGGGACCTTGGAGGTCATCTAGTCCAACCCGCTGCCTAGGCAGGAAACCCTACACCGTTCAAGACAAATGGCTATCCAGCATCTTCTTAAAGACTTCCAGTGTTGGGGAATTCACAACTTCTGAAGGCAACTTCTGTTCCACTGATTAATTGTTCCAATCATTCTTTCCCTTCTCTCTCCTTCCTTCTCTTTTGTTTTCTCTCCTTCCTTCCTATCTTCCTTCCTTTTTTTCTTTCTCTCTTCCCTCCTTCCTTTTTTCTTTCTTTCTTTTCTTTTTCCTTCCTGTCTCCTCCCTCCCTCCCTTCATTTTCTTTCTCTCCTTCATTCCTTCCTTCTTTCCTTTCTCTCTCCTTCCTTCCTACCTTTCTTTCTTCCTTTCTTCTTTCTTTCTTTCTTTCTTTCTTTCTTTCTTTCTTTCTTTCTTTCTTTCTTTCTTTCTTTCCTCTCTCCTTCTTTATTTCCTTTTTGTCTCCTTCCATCC